CGTCCCCTCCCCCGACAGGAGCCCAGCCCCCCGCAGGCCCTGACTGAGTGGCCCACACACTTCTCCCAGAGCCCAGAGCTGCTCTCTTAGGGGGCAGGGGGCAGGGGCAGGCGCAGGGGGCGCTCTTGTGACAGCACTGCGTGTTGGGCCCGCAGGCTTGTGACGCCTGGAAGAAGGAGGCGGAGGAGGCCAGCGAGCGTGCCAGCGCAGCGGGTGCCGAGTGTGAGCTGGCCCGGGAGCAGCGGGATGCCCTGGAGGTGCAGGTGAAGAAGCTGCAGGAGGAACTGGAGCGGCTGCACTCGGGGCCGGACCCGCTGGCCCTTCCCGCCTTCTCTGACCTGGAGGCCCTCTCGCTCTCCACCCTCTACTCCCTCCAGAAGCAGCTGCGGGCCCACCTGGAGCAAGTGGACAAGGTCAGTTCGGGGGTCGGGAGCCCTGGGCGGGGTGGGCAGTGGCCTGCTCCAGAGATGGCCCCCTTTCCCCGAGCCACTGACGCTCACAGTGCTGGCCTGCTGGAAGGGGGCCAGGAATGGCATTCACTCTTGGTGAGGTCGGGCAGCTGGAGGCTCAGGAGGGGTCTTGGCGTCCACTCCAGGGCTCGTGCGGCAGGCACTGACCATCAGTAGTCTGGGCCTCGGTTGTGGTCCTGAGGGCTCCTCTGTGCTCCACAGACCAGCAGGCATTTTGGAATGGTCTAGGCCCTGGGGCTGCCCCGCCTCCTCGGTGCCTGCTGGCTCCTCGGGCTGCACGGTGCAGTGGAAAGAACCCTCTTTCCCTCACTAGGACTTAGACAAGCCCCTAGGCGTGGCCACGTGACCTTGGCCATGTGACCACCCTCTGTGGGCCTCTTCTCACTGAGGCCTTACAGCCACTGAGAGAGCAGATGAGACAACAGAGGCAGAACAGAACCTTGGCGAGGAAAGGCCTGTGGGGCACAGAGCCTGGCTCCCTCTCCCCAGCTCGGCTGCAAGGGCACCATGTGGCCGCTTCACCCAAATGCCCACGGGGGGCTCTGAGCGACCCGCTGTTGAGCTACTCTGCTCACAGTTTCCTCATCCTAAGGACTGAAGGGAGAGTCAGGGAGCTCCTGCCCTGACTTCGGGCCGGGCCAGCAGCAGAGTGTGCCAGACACTGCTGTCTCCCCACAGGCAGTGTTCCACATGCAGTCGGTGAAATGCCTTAAGTGTCAGGAGCAGACCCGGGCGGTGCTGCCGTGCCAACATGCCGTGCTGTGCGAGCTGTGTGCCGAGGGCAGCGAGTGCCCCGTCTGCCAGCCGGGCCGGGCCCACCCCCTGCAGTCGTGACCCCACGCCCGGCCGCCTGGCCCGCTGCTCACCTAGGACTTTTTAAAGTATATATAGATATATATATGTATGTATGTATGTATGTATGTATATGTATATGATTGTATATGTATACATCTGTGTGGGGGTGTGCATGGGCGGCCAGCGTGTGAGCAGTGTCTGTGTGTATATCTGTCATAGATATAGACACACACTTTAAAACCAACTTACCAAGCACTTTTTAAAAGAAAAACTATTTTACAGTTCCTCCCCCGACCCCCTTCCTCTCCCATCACAGAGACGAAGCCCCTTTCCCCACACCGGCCCTTTGGCAGGGAATCTATTTGTCTCTTTTTATGTAGGAACTAACTATTTTTAACTTCTTCCTGGGCCTGAGCAGGGAAGAGTGAGAAGCTGGAAGGGCCAGGGGTGAAGGCGAAGCCTTCGGGGCGGGCCTGCTCACTCACCTCCCCCTCCCCCTCCCCGGGCCAGGGGAGCGGAGCTGGTGCAGAGGACTCGGGTCCCTGCTGTGAGGGCCATGAGGAGGCCTGGGGGCCGCGCTGGGCACAGGCCAGCCTGGCTCATAGGCTTTTTAACCAAATGTGTGTTCTGTGCTAAGGAGGCAGCAGGGGCTGGCGGGCCAAGGCTGCAGGGCCGGCCACTCTCCCGACACCTGGGCCTGAGGCTCCTAGAGGGGCACGGCCTGGACTTTTGTCCCTCGGGTTCCTGGGGCCTGGGGTCCACCTTAGGTCCTCTTCCTGCACCACCAGGGCCCCAAGGCCACCTACCAGGCTGGTACTGCCCTCTGACCCCCAGTGCCCTCAGCTGCCCACCCCCACCCGCCCGGCACAGCCCTTCCTCTGGCAGCTAGCAGGGCAATTGGTGGGAGGGGCTGCAGCCTGTAAGGACCAAAAGGGGGGGGGCCTGAGGCCCTGCCCCTCGTAGGAAGGCTCCGCGTGCATTCCTTGGTGCTCTCTGAGTGCAGCTGACGTCCTGCCCAGCCCAGGGCGGACGCCTGTGTGCATGTGTGTGCGTGCCTGTCCACTGTATATTGTGTCTTAGCTTCCATTTTTAAATTGTCATGTACAGAGAGGTGCCGGGGGGCGGGAGGGCGGGGCGGGAGGAAGGTGGCACTCCGCTCCCAGCACTGGCGTCTGGAGCAAGGGGGCTGGGAAGGGTCTGGCCCCGGCCCCGGCCTCCCCTGGGCTCAGCACGAAAGGGCTTTCAATGAATTAAGTGAAAACTTTCTCTTTTTTTTACGGAAAAGCAAAAATCAACAAAGCTCCAAACCTATTGGAAATAAAATATGAACTTGCAGCAGTGCCTGGTTTCCATGGGTCAGGGGAGTGGGCCAGGGAGGGCCTCCGTGCTGTGATGCAACCCCAGGCTGGTCTGAGCCTCGGAACCCCCACCCGCCCCATACCCAGCTGTAGAAAGCTACTGAGGAGAGGCCTCCAGGCTCCCTGGGCCATCCCACAATTGAAGAGCCTGGCAGCTTGAGCTCCCCATCCCAGGCCCACTAGGGGGTGGGGGGTGGGCCTGGGGCTCTTCCTAGGGCTGCTGGTTCCAGCTGTGAGGTTGATGTTTCCCACAAGGCAGCGGACTCCCAGTGCCTTCCCAGGGGATGATTTGCATAAAAGTACAGAAGAAAAGAAGGGTCCAGAGGAAATGTCCTGTGGCCCACCCCACGCCACCCCACCCCACCTCCCACGCCCCCTGAGGGATGAAGACGGCCCTTTGAGAGCTCCCGCCCTCTCCCCTGCGCTCAGCTGGGCCTCCAGTGAGGTCCTGTGGCAGAGGCTTGGAGGTTCAGAGAAGGCCCCTGAAGACCATCTGCCCTCCCTGCCCCCATCACCTTTACCTGTACAGGCATGTGGCTTAGCTGGGACCACAGTGTAACTGTCTAGAGCAGCCATTCAGCCTCAACCTACCCCCTGGAAAGCCCCCCAGTAATAGGGCTCTCCTAGAGTTCCATGCCTCTGCCCCTGAATCTGCAGTGCCAGCCCAGTCCCTGAGAGACCAAGGCAGAGTAATGCCAGCTGCCCCTGCTGCTGCATCAGTCACCCCACACACACACACTGCTTTGCGATGTGAGGAGCCAGAGGACCCCCAGTGCCCTCAGCTGCCCACCCCCACCCGCCCGGCAGGTGCGCCAGGACTCTCAAGGTCTGAGGGCTGGACTGCAGGTCAACAGGGTTGTAAGAGGACGGAGGACTCTGTGTGCGCTTAGTATATACACAGGCAGTCCCGGGGTTAAGAACGTCCAACTTACTCACAACCCACGGTAAAGCCTGTTACATTGACAATTCGAGGACCCTGGTGTAATGTGCTGTGGAGTCGGACCCAACTCAGCGACCCCTCCTTGGGTTTCCGAGGCGGTATCATTACGGAAGTAGATTGCCCAACCGTCCTTCTGAGGCGTGGCTGGTGGGTTTGAACCCCCAGCCTTCCGGTTAGCAGTCAAGTGCCTTAGGCACTATGCCACCAGAGCTCCTGAGGGCCCTGCAGTGGTTCACAGTACCAAAGAGGTGCTACTTTGGCACCACATCAAAGCATTACTATTACTGTATAGCAATGTTACAGATACTTTAGTGTATCTGGAAATGTTTAATGTTCTTCATGCATAGAAAGGAAATACTATATATACTATGTTCCAAGACTAACGAAAGCTGGACTGACGTTAGATAGGAACTGTACTTAGCTGCTGTGATTTACATACAAATTAAGACTGACAAACTTAGGAACTGGACTAGTTTGTAAACCGGGAACTGCCTGTGTAACAAAACATGTTATTTCAATATGAATCCATTAACTGCAGTGCAGCCGTCACCATTATCCATTTCCACATGTTTCCATGATCTTTAACAGAAGCTCAAGGGGCCCTGGTGGTGCCATGGCTAAGGCACTCGGCTGCAAACCAGAAGGTTGGAAGTTCAAACCCACCAGCCCAGTGTGGGAAAGATGAGGCAGTCTGCTTCTGTAAAGATTTACAGCCTTGGAAACTGTGTGGTCGCTATGAGTCAGGATCGACTCAATAGCAGTGGGTTTTTGGTTTTTAACAGAAACTCGGTGCCCCCTAAGGACGGTGGATTTTTGCTTTTTATTATTTTTGCTAATTTATGAATAGATTACTGGCTGATCTCTTTTCTCTGAGTGATGGGTGGGGTGCTGTCCTAAGGAGGTGGCCGCCTCTGCAGACACAGCCAGATTTCCCTCCTGCTCTGCCCTCCATGTCAGCCCCCTGCCTGCAGCTCACCCAGCTCCAGGCTCCTCAGCTCAGGGGCTGGCAGCCCCCCTCAGTGCCGCCACCACCCCGGGGGCTTCACCCAGGCAGCTGCAGCCTCGTGGCTTCCCCTCTCCCAAGAGGCTCTAGGCTGCAGCCCTGCCTGGGGGGCCTGCACCCCACCCTCGTGGCCAGAGCAGGCAGGGGACCTGAGACCCTCCTATGCCACAGCAGCTTTTCCAGAGTGAGAAAGAGGGGCTTAGGGGTGGTGTGGGCGGCAGCCGCCCCATCGGGGGCTGAAGGGAGCAGGAGGGAGCATCAGTGTTGCTAACGGCTGCCCTTCTATGGGGCCCTGTTCTGCCAGGAGGACCTAAGGGGTCTGTACTCGGCCTTGGTGTGCTGGGGCTCTCAGGCCTGGAGGACCTGCAGAGCTAGGCCACAGGGGCAGGCCTTGGAAGAGCTGGTCCCCACAGGGAACCCCAGCGAGTCTCCGGCTACCGCCCTGGCCTCGGGGTGTGCTGGGCAGCCTGCTTGGCTCGCTGCCGCCGCATCCTTACAAAGGCCTGGGCCTCGCGGTCACCCTTGCGGCTCTCCAGCAGCTGCAGAACTGGGTCCCCTGTGAAGAGGGGTTTGGGGGTCACACTTGCAGAAGCCCCCAGCTCAGGGAGGAACAGCACTGCCCATCCCCCAGCTGACACGCCAGCCAAGCTCACAAGACAGACATTCAGGACTACTAGCAACCTCTGAGCTCAGAGTGCTGGCCTGGACACCTGCCCCAGTTGTAGGGCAAAAGGCAGTGACAGGTCTGCAGTTGTGACTGTCACATTTGTATGAGAACCTTAGGCTAGTTACCTAATCTCTTCATGCCTCAGCTTACTCATCTGTAGGATAGGGGTACTTCCTGTCTCGGGTGGGGGCCGGGGAACAAGTCAGCAAAGGTCAGGTGCTCAGAACAGGCCCAGAACGGAGCGGGTGAACAAGTGGGTACTGTCATCAAGCCTGGGGACGCTGTGCTGGGTGTGCTCTGGTCGGAGACCCAGGCTCCTGTCCTCACTGCTAACCATTTAGAAACCTTCCCCGACTCGGCCGGGAGTCAGGTTAGGCCTTACCTGGCTTATGTTTCAGTCTCAACGACACCAGAGACTCACTGGTTCCGCCAGCTCCCACCTCCAAGGAGGCCTTTTCTGGCCCTCACGGCATTGCCTGGGGTACCCTACCCACGCCTCGCTGGGGGCCCCCACCCTGCCCCTATGCTGGGCCCAGCCCCACCCTTGCATTGGGGCTGGGCCTACCGTTGAGTGGTGGGTAGGTGAGGGGCAGGCGGGTCTGTGGCACCTCGTGGGGCTCCTCGTTCCCAGGCAGGCCCGGTACCGATCGCAGGGGTAGGAAGGCCTCGCCCTCTAGGTCATCGGCCCCCAGCCTGTCGTGGTCTAGCACGGTGAGCAGAAGGCACGCCCCATGCTCCTGGCAAGGTTCTGCAGGCACCAGGCTGGGCGGGGGACACGGTTGGGTTCAGTTGCCTGCTTGCTCCCCGCTGCTACCATCAGTCCTGACACCTGGGGACAGGCCAGGCTGGGAGGAACGGGCCCAGGATTGGCGGAGATAGGAAGACATTTTGTGGCCATATGGCCTGACGCCCACTCCAACCACCGGCTGACTCTAAACCGGGGTCCCATGTCCCCAGGCTGCTTGTCTCAAGGACAGGACCTTTCCTGGGAGCTTCCAAGCACAACATGCTGGCGTCCCAGGCAGGTTTGGGGCCAGTTCTAGCAAACCTCTGTCCCAGCTTCCCCTCCCTGGGGCCCCAACGTGTCACCGCGGGAGCAGCCAGAGGTAGCAGTGGCCAGGGCTGAGGATGCGAGGGGAGGGGCTGCTCACAACTCAAAGGTCTCATCGAACAGCGGGTGAAGGTCCTTCTTGTGTTTCTGGGTCTCCCGGGGGCCCAGCTCGGGGAAGGCGTGCCTAGGCTCCAAGGTTAGCTGTACAAAGGGGTCGCTGGAGCCTGGTGTGCGGGCCAGAGGAGGAGATGGGTGGGCGAGGCCGCACAGCACTGACCCCTCCTGGTGATCCAGGGCAAATGTGCCCAGTCCTCTGGCTGGTGGGGCAGCCCAGCCCACGGGTGCAGGGAGGGCAGGGCCAGGGTGGGGACCCGGGGGGGCAGACTCACCGTTGGAGTCCAGGGGCAGCAGGCTGGAGGCGCTAAGCAGCTCGACACGCAGCTTCTGCTCCGAGGCGAGGTAGGAGGCCTTGACCGTGACCGCCCCCAGCTCCTCGGAGGTGGTTTCTGCCTGCATTGGGGCACGGGGACAGTGTGGGCTGGGGAAGCACTGGGCTCAGGCTGGGGCCGCTGGAGCAGGGTGCGGCGGGAAGGGGGCCACCTCACCTGCTGCTCCAGGCGGCTGCAGAAGTACTTCTGAATGAGCTGTCGGCTGGGGGCCGCCTGCAGCTCCAGGTCCTTCTGCAGAGCCTGGGGAAGGGCACGTCCGGGAAGTCACTGGAACTTACCCGCTGGACCTTTAGGCGCCCTCAGCCAAGCACCACTTTGACAGGAAAATCGCTGGGCCTTATGGGACCACAGGCAGGTTGGCTGTAGCCTCAGAGGTGCCCAGGCAGACAGAGGTACAGGAAAGGTGGCCAGCTTCAGGGCTGTTCAATCCGGGTGACATGGGGCCCCAGTGCCAAGAGGGCCTTACACTTGCTTTGTTAAGCGCACAGCTGTTAACCAGAATGTTGGCAGTTCAAACCCACCAGCCGCTCCGCAGGAGAAAGATGTGGCAGGCTGCTTCCGTGAAGCACACAGCCTTGGAAACCCTATGGAGCAGTTCTACCTCTGTCCTGTAGGGTCACTATGAGTTGGAATCCATTCGATGGCAACCAGTTTGTCCCCATCTTGAAATCCTTAATGATCTTTGAACCAGGCCCCACTGCCTCAGTTTTGCACAGGGTCCCACAAAGTTAAGTGATGAGTTCTGGCATAGATGAGTGCAGAAAGACAGATTCGCCAGACTCTACAACTCACCTGGAAGGTGGCTGTGTGCAGGGCCTCAGGTGGCAGGCCACAGCCCTCGGCGTGGAAGCAGACCTCCAGGTTCTAGGTGGTAAGACAGGAGTGGTAACCGTGAGCTCTCTCCCACCACAGTTACTGTTGTCGTGGGCTGTCCTTACCTGCAGGGCAATTTTCAGCCTGCTCGAGGCCAGGGGGGAGCTCTGCTGGGAGGCAGCTGCCTCTGCCAGTACCGTGAGCGTGTGCGTCCATAGCAGGGTCAGAAGACTGGCGTGAGGAGCAGATGAATGGCCGGATATGGGACAGGAGGCCAGAGGAGGAAGCAGAAGGACTCTTAAGGAAGGTGAGGCTTCCAAGAAGCCAGGCCCAGCCCTAGTTCTTCCCTATCCCCAGTCCCGGCCTCCCCTCCTGCTTCACTGGTGAGGGGTGGTATCTTGGGGAAGGAGAGCAATGGGGTGCAGACGGGGTCTGTTCTGTCCAGCATGCCTCTCAACCTAAGCAGAGAATCCTTAAAGCAGGCGGCAGGAAAAGTGGGGAGGCTGGTTCCCCCAGATGACAGAATAATTCAAAACAAAGTGGCCAAAATGAATGGACAGAGATGTACAAGGTGGACAGTTACACCAGGGAGGCACACTCCCTAGAGTGGTCAACCAGGGGAGATGAGAAGGGCAGCATTTACGCAGGGAGAGAGCTCAGAGACAGGAATGCATAGGAAAGGAGGACACAGGGAGAAGGTACCCTCCGGGAGGAAGTGGGAAGACAGCTGTTACATTATGGGGACTGCAATCAATGTCATGAAATAAAATGTGTACGAAGTGGTATATGAAAAATGAAGTTGCTCTGTAAACTTTCACCCAAATCACAAAAAGAAAAGAGAGAGAGATCCTAACTAGAAGTGCCCCGCTAGATGATCAGAGGGCAGAGATTCAGTCAAGGAGGCTGTAAAAGGCAGGAAGTATAGACAGATTTCAGCTCTGTCTGAGGAAGAACCTGTAACACTCAGAGCTGTGACAGAGGCAGGCTTGTGAGGTAGTGAGCTCCCTCTCCCTGGAAGCAAGCATTTGAGCAGAGGCTGACTAGGGTCACAGAAGGGATTCTTCCCTGAGAATGGCTGCCCAGGGCTCAGGAAGGACAGCATGGGAGCACCGCAGGGCAGGGTGGCTGCACACCTGCTGAAATTCTCCTGCACCAAGTTGGTGTTCATGTAGCAAAGCTCCACCTCCAGGAACTTCATCAGGGGCAGGATGGCCTGGGAAGAGGACGGGGAGCACATCTGGCTGTGGCCGATGAAGGTCCAGACCCCATTCGCTTACCCCGGTCCCCAGGAGTCACCATCTTGTGAGTCCCAGGAAACAGGGCCTATGGTGTGTGCATCGAAGCCCCGCCCTGCCCCTGGCCCCCTGGGAAACCCTTCCCTCTCCCTTGCTCAGTCTGCTCCAGCCACCCTGGCCTCCTCGATAGGCCTTCACCCTGCCAGGCGTGGTCCTGCCTCTGGGCCTTTGGTGTTCCCTCTGCCTGGAATGGTCTTCCCCTAGAAACCCCCATGGTTCCCACCTGTCACCCTCTGAGTAAGGCCTTCTCTGGCCACTCTATCTGAAAATACAACCCTCTGAGCTTCCTGCCACATTCTCCTTAGCCTTTATCACCATCTAACACACGCTGTAAATACATATACTCATCTCCCGCTTTGTCTCCCCTGCTAGAAATCTACTTCCGCAGTGATACCACCTCGGAAACCAAAAGAGGGGTCTCTATGAGTCAGGTCTGACTCGACGGCACATGACACCACCACCACCACTAGAATGTAGGAGCTCTGGAGACACAGTGGTTAAGCCCTCAGCTGTTAACCGAAAGGTTGGCAGTTCAAACCCACCAACTGCTTCACAGTAGAAAGATGTGGTAACCTGTTTCCATAAAGATGATAGCCTTGGAAACCCTGTAGGGCAGCTCTACTCTGTCCTATAGGGTCGCTGTGAGTTGGAATTGACAGTAATGGGTTTACAGGTACTGGAATGTAAGCTCTAGGAAGGCAGGAACCTTTCTCACATCCCTGCTGCCTAAACCAGTGCTGGCACAAGGTGGGTCCTTGATTAATGGTTAAGGAATTAGTGTACGGTCCAAAATGTGCTATTATCCGCCTTGGCAGATGAGAGAAAGGCCAGCTGCTTGTTTACACAGGGCACTGAAGCTAGGGACAGCTGAGCAGGGTGTGACCTGTACCCAGGTTGGTCTGGCTGCAGCGCCCCAGGCCTCCCCACCTGCAGCCCACCCATCTGGCCTAAGGACACTGACCGCCAGTGTGGCATGCCTGAACCCAGCCCCTCTCCAGGATCCAAGGAGGAAACTGAGGCCCAGGGAGGGAACATAACATGCCTGGCCCAAGTCTGGGGGTTTCTCTCTAACACCCAAGGCCTTCAGCCCCTGACCCACCCTGAGCCCCTTCACAATCCCAGACCCACAGGGCTGGCAAGGCAACAGAGGTCAGGGAGCAGGGGGCACTCACGTCCTCAGGCAAGACGGACCCCTTGACGCCCAGGAGCCTCTGGATGTGCGTGGCAATGCCCACCTCCAGCTGGGGACACAACGGGGTGGAGGGCATGAGCCAGGGCCTGAGTGCGGGGCTGGGGAGTCGTGCTGGGGGGCTGCTTCGGGTCAGGAAGGGGTGGGGTGGGAGATCAGCCCTGCTCAGGGCCAGGCTGCAAGGGGCGGGGTGGAGGTCCCAGAGGGGCCAGACGCAGTACCTGCTCAGTGAGGGTGCGCACCCCGGAGCGGATCTCGTGGGCCAGTCCCGCCAGTGCGCTCTGCAGCTGGTTATGCAAAGTGTGCTGCAGCTGGCCCCGCTCCAGCACAGCTCCAACCCGCTCCTCCAGCGCCTCCCAGGCCAGCTGGGTGGGCAGCTTGCCGATCACCAGTCGCAGCTGCTCCATGTCATTCACCACCACGCACAGCTGGGGGCGGGCACAGGGATACAGGGCTTCATGGGCGGTGCCAGAGCGGGCAGGCTGCACCCTAACACTGGCCAGCCCCAGTGCCCAGTACCACCCCTTACCATGTTGGCTGCCTGACCCTGGTCCTTCTGGCTGGCAGAGAGCTCGCGGGCCCGGGCCTTGACGAGGCTGCAGTATACCAGGGCCAGGCGACAGGTGTCCTGGGGCGGGGAGGGATCAGAGGGGACGGATCAGTGGGTGGGGAGCCCAGGACAGGCAGGTGGGGGCAGGATGTGCGCCCACAGGATGGGGAGGTAGTGAGGTTGTCCTGGGGGAAGTGGGGGGACACCATGGAAGACTCTGCACCTCTACGAACTTGACAGTGATCATGAAGGCCTCCTCTGGGTCAGGCCAGTCCAGCTGCCTGGCAGTGTGGCTGATCTGGGCGAAGCAGGTAGATAGATCCACTGCGGAGGTGCTGTGCTTGGTCAGTTCTCCCAGCGGCACGAGCTGGTGGGATGGTGGACACAGAAAGGAGGGCTCAGGGCCTGCCTATCCACCCCTCCAACTCTCCTTCAGCAAGCATTCATCGCTCCTACCACCGTCAAGCACAGAGCTGAACGGGG